GTAGCTCAGAGGGCGCAGCATGACCGAGGCCGCCTCGCGTCCGGCGCGCCGCAGGGCATCACGGGGGCCCGGAAGCGGCCGCGGGGCACCATGGGGCGTGAAGTCCAAGGTCTATCCTCCCTGAGTCTCTACACCGTACCCGGGAGCCCGCTCCGACGGCGCACGAGGCCCTGCCGAAGTCTGCCGTCGTCCCCCGCCACGGCTCTGGCTGCGACCTTCCTGCCGGGCCCGGTCACGTCCGTGCCCCTTCGTTTGCGGGCCGGGTCCGCGACCCTCCAGAACCCACGCGGAGAAGGGGCTCAGTGTGAGTGGGAGAGGAAGAGGACGGAGGAGAATTCGAGGCAACAACTTCCGGGATCTCATAACTTTATTGGGCGGCAGTGCGCAGCGCTCGGGTCCAGTCTGTCGGGGAAGGGGACGGTCATTCCAGCGGAAGCTCTGGTCAGCGGGCCCGGCCCGGTCCCCCGCCCCCCTCCCCCCCTTCTGACCTGGCTTCGCTGACAGGCTCCTAGCCTAGAGGATCCAGGGAGTCCTTCACCTCCTAAACAAACCTGAAAGGTAGAAACCTGAGCTCACATGGATTTAAATTAGGCGATAAGGTTTTGCCGTATAGGAATCTACTTACTACTTCCTCCTTTAATTACTGTGCTCTCCTGGTGCACTTTTAAATACTATGTGCAAAATAGTAATAATCCATCTCCACACACCTGTGTTCTGCTAGGGCTTCGGAGGACTCTGCAATCGCTACCATTTCTAGTGCCATGCCAGTGACTACCTGGTCCTCCAGGCCTTGCTACCTGTCAGTGTGAGGTCCCTCCCACCTCTCACCTCTTTCTGCTGGCCGGGGAACACAATGGTTTCCCTAGGAAACAAGCCTGGGGGACCCCACTGCAGTCACTGCCTTACTTATGGAGGTTTCTTAGTGCAGCACAATTATTTCCTACCCCATTAGTGACTTCCAATCTTTAAATTTAACATAAGTATCTTATAAATTGTTTAGAGTTCTGGGAAACAGCAGACAGCACCCTGCTTGTAAGAAGCAGGGGGCACTAACAGCTGGGGGTGCTGTGGTAGGGGTGTCTCAGTGCTGTCTACCCCATCTTCCACTCACATAGCCCCCAGTCCTTAGCCACTATGGCCCCTGGTGGCCAGTGCCTGGGGCCTCTCACTCTACTTACCAGCAGTGTCTGCACCAGGTACTGCTTCGTATGGAGGGTCTCCTGGCCTATGGTCCTGCCCTCCCAGGGCACACTTTCCACCTGGAGTGTGTGTGTGTGTGTGGGGAGAGCCAGGGCATTGCTTTGGAGACTATGGCAGTCTGGTCTGGGCCGCTTGCTGCAGTGCCCAGAATCCTTCCTCAAAAGATAGTAGAGGCTGCAAACTGCCCTCACTACCCCCAACCACAGGCTCAAGGTAGGCGAAGGAGCCCTAGCCAGCACCTTCTTCCTCCCACTCAGGCTGGGGAGACCCGTCACCCACCTGGGGGCCTTGGGGCATGCTGGCAGTGCAGGGATGAGCTGGAGGCTCACTTTCCTCCACTGTACCAGTTGTGGGACCAGTGCTGAGTCTTTGAGGGTCCTGGTTGGGTGGGCGGCGGCAGCAGCAGCAGCAGCAAGAGGCCTAGCTTGGAGCTGGCCATGGCAGGGCTGCTCCTGATGGGGAACTCAAGAAGTTAAGTTCAGGGGGAACTTACTCCACATAGACTTTTTAGTTGTAGATATGTAGTTAACAGGCTTGGTAATTAATGCATGTAGAAAAGCTATTGTTCCAGGGACTGGAATGTATGACTGGACTGCCCTGACTTCAGGAGACCCACAAGCAATTTGACCTTTGTGCCCCAGGAGAGCTATAAGTGACCAAGATGGTATCTGAGCCACTGTGCTCCAGGAAGAGGTCAGCTGCCCAGGATGTAGATAAAGAATCAGCACAGGTCAGCAGATGAAGGGATGCTCAGGAAATCACCTGACTGCAGCTTTTTTCTGATTAAACCTTTTCCCTAAATTCCAAACCCCTTACCTACTTTCTCTTGAATTCCAAACCCTTTACCTACACTTAGTGTGAGTCAGCTCAGTTTTCTATTGCCTGGGGGCGGGGGGGGGGGCGGGGAAGGGCAGGGCAGCAGAGGCCTGTTAGTAATAACCAATTTCTGCAATTGAGCTGAACAGCAAATGCAAAGGCCTGGGTCAGGTTTGACATCATGGGGCCCAGTCACTGGGAGCGCAGGTCCATCAAATCCTGTGGCAAAGATGGGGGAGGGAATGGCATAATGGGCATCATGGTAGGTCATGGGCACCTGGAATTCAGCCGCCCAGGCAGGAGGGCACACGTGATTTTCCAAATTGACTTATTTAGCAGGAACCTGAAATCAGTGTATTCAGTTAAATTGTTTTGAGGGGAAAAAAACCAAATAGGCTTTGTTCCTAGATGCATGGGTTAACCAAGTAATTTTTAGAAAACATTTGCTTTGTAGTTTAGTAAACATGACTGAATTTAATAAACAAGCTTAGTTTTGACTTGTATTTACAGAATGTTTATTTTAAAAGAGAAATGGGGGTGCCTTTTTTTCTGTAATTTGTGGTTTTTGCTAAAAGATCCAAACCAGAACTAAGCTTCCCAGGGGAAACACCGGGCCCTTTCTGGCAACATACCTAGCTTTTCAGGAATGTTTGCTGTCCCCTTCCAGACTATAAACTCTGGAATTCATCCTCCTATCCTCAGCAGGACACAGAAAGCCATTTGTTCACCGTAAGTTCCTGCTAATTCTCTGCCTTGGGGAGAGGACATCATTCCAGTCTGGGAGCTCTTGTAGTCAGTGGGGAAAACAGAGGTTTAGAGCTCAGTGCTCAGGTGCTGTTGGAGCACAGCAAGGCACCACCCCCTGACCACGGTGGTCTAGGGTGAAAGCAGAAAGGAGTTAGTTGGAGTTGTGGGAAACAGGGCAGCAGTGGGTGCTCCACTGTAAGGAACAAAATGGAGAAGGGTCAACACAGGAACTGCTAGGTGGGGGTGGAGGTGAAAGGGGTGCAGAGAATGCCAGAGGGCTGCAGGAAGCAGGGACAGGTGCCTGTGGGTCATCCCATGTGGGGTCACTGAGCAGGAAGCAGGAAATGTGGACCTGGAGCTCAGGAGGGGACTCAGGCTTGAGGAAGGGCTGAGGATCCACAGCACACAGACAGGAGGAATGCCTGACCTCTGAGGAGACAGTG